TGTACTGATAAAATCAGTACGTCTGGCAACCGTACGCGTACTTTAAATCTATATATCTCAGCGAGGAATAATAGGAATTGAAAAATGAGGCTGGTTTTTAAAGGTTCAGAATTGTAAAGTGAAATCTGCGCCAATATTCGAATTTTGTTCCCGATTATATAAGTTGTTGAAATTTACCAAAAAAAGGCAATTTGTACACTTTTACTTTAGAACATATATTATAAATCTTGCATACTGGAGAAAATTGCATAAGAAATAGGAAGCCTGGCTTATGATTCTGAAAATCGTTGGCTTGTGTAATTCATAAACAAGGAGGCCCCCTGTATATTGCAGTATATATGTACATACAAATAAAAATATGTATGAATATATGTTTTTATGCACCTAAAATCCATTCACATCATCCTACAAGCCTTATCAGGCTGAAGCCGGCTGTGATTATGTTTAGAAAACTAAAAAAATCTGGATTAGATTTATTTCGCATTATAGCGATGACCCTTCCCACAAACTGTACCAAGATCCAAGGTGAGCCCCTATCTTGAAAGAAATTACGCAGTTAACAGACAAGTGTACATACATACATACATACAGTGGTGAAAGAAATCATAGAAACTTTTTATTTTATTGAGTTTCGGGTATATTTATTTTGTTTATTCGATGTTAAATATTGTTTTATTAAAGTCTAGCGCATAATATAAGGAGCACCTTATAAATCCACATTTCAAACTTCATATAAATATTATAAAAATTCAACAAATTTTACCATCATCCCAAACATTTTTTTTTAATAAATTTTGGGCAGTTTACTAGCCCATTCAATTTTACTAAGATAAAGTGTAGTTTGTGTTGTGCATTTTCTTAATGTAAAGTATGTAAAAGTTTCTTTTTATGTGGAAGAAAATGCATTGCATAGTCAGCAAAAAAAAAACATTAAAATTAACGCGATTTTTTTTTTTCTGAACAAAAAGTTTGACAATTTTCGGGGATTTCGGTAATGTTTGTTGAATTTTTTAATTTTTGTGCAAAATTAGCCAAAAACTGGTCAAAACAAAAGGTTTCTATTATTTCTGCCACCACTGTATATCCGACAGTGCAAATGTAAGTGACGCTAGATCGTATGCCAATCTAAGCAGTGAGGTGAGTAGAACACAATAAAAAATAATAAGTTTCATTCCAAATAAATATAACGTAGTAAAAAAGTGAGAAAATACTTTGGGGCATCACCTGCAAAATTATAAATAATTTATGACTACGTATGCAAAGCGCATACTACGTAATGATGGCTGCAAAAAAAAATATTTTTTTTTATAATTTCTACATTAAAAATTCATAAATAAATAGCCGATTTGATAACAAAGAATATTTCTAAATATAATATTTGTGATCCAAATTCACCTAATTAAAATGAATTATGATAGATGCCGAAGCGTTCACCTTGCAATGGGTACCTTTAATCTCTCAGGTAGATTTTATTTTGCAATTTCTCTTTGTTTGTTTCATTGCCCTCTTTGAATTTCTAGCTATAGAGCATCTACAAAAAAATAAAAATAAAATATAAAAGATCCCTTATTAACGCGTTTTTTTAAAGATGATCGTTGTCCTTATAAAATATGCAGCAACAAATTATACGAATTGATGCAAGCATTCAAGTGAATTTGTAGAAAAGTTTTTTACCCTCCAAAGTTATTATTTAATTTTTAATTCTTAATTATTGTTCAGTTGATTGTAGAAAAACTTTTTTGTTATTTTAAATTTTGTTTGAGGACTTACGTTGATTGTAAAATAAAACTTTTAGTAGCGTAATATAGCAGAATAATTATTCTTTTGCTATACGCCTTCCGGAGATCATAGAAACTGATCGAATAAAACAGAATTTTTTCGGAACTGCACTTTCCTTTGCCAATCTTATATGGTTCGAGGATCAATGATCCCTTTTAATAGGAATTGTTTAAATTGGCAGACCCCACGTTGCACAGTGGTTCGGATCGCAAATCTAGCTGGACGAAACTATTTAAACAAATACTCCTTGATAGATCTTTACACCACTTCTTACCTAGGGGATTTTTGGGTCGCTGATTACGAATCTGAAGTCACTTATCAAAAATTCAAAATGGCGGATCCAATATGGTGGACGAAAATAAAAAAATCGGTAGATTTCCATGAAACTGGGTATCTGGGGGTTTTCTGGGTCGCTGATTACATATCTAAAGTAATTTACCAAAAATTTAAANCTGGGTATCTGAGGGTTTTCTGTGTTGCTGATTACGAATCTATAGTCATTTACTTAATTTACTTTATTTACTTCGGAACGAGCATTTTCATCAGATATTTCTTTCAATTTACTAACCACATAATCACGGACACCTTGTTGTCTTTTAGAAGTTTTAGCAACACTTCTCCAAATGTCAAACAACTCACTTCTTAAGATTTTATTTACCATGACTAAAATTTAAGATCACAGCAAGAAACACAAATAAATTTCAGAAAAAATTTTATAACAGCGCTTAAAGATTTGCATGCCTGTTGTATAATTTTTTAATTTCAGAAAGCAGAAAATTCGCGAGTTACTATTTTTTTTAACTCTTACGTAACCAAAGTTTTTATAACTCCAAGTATTTTTCTGTTTTAACACACCAGTTTCTGTTATACCAATGTGGACATAAATTGCGTTATGAGCTCTGAATCTATAGCGGAATAAGTGTAATTTTTTGTTTATAAAGTCAATTATGCAAATATCTGTGAGTGCAATTAGCAATATTTTAAGTTAAATTTCAGCTTTTAAGATAGAGTTCTCAAATAGGCGGCGTTGACTTACCTTTTTTTTGTTTGTTTTCATATGTTAATGCTTTAATAAATGTAATTTCTTTTTGAATGTATTGTCAGGAATGTATTCCAAGTACCATTAAGTATTTTAAAAACAAAAAAATGTTGACTTCGTCCAGCTAGATCTGCTATCCGAACTACTCTGCAGTGCTTTTTAGTACAGTTATTTTTTTATCACACCCAAGAAGCTAACAGTGATCCTTAATTTATACATATACCTGAAAGTTAAGGCTAGGCAGGACATTTTCTGGTGAACCTAGATGGTTAAGAATGCGTTTTCACATTCGATATTTCTTGGACTTAAATAAAATCTGTTCATCCCGTAGACTTTTAAGGTTTAAATTCACCATATTTTATATTCAAAAGGGTACTGCTCATTTTCTTACTCCGCTCATTATTCATATTAATATGGACGCTGCAGTGCAACCGCGGACTAGTGAATCAAATTTCTAACTCCGTACAAGAAGAACCAAAAAGATTGAAAAATCAGGGGATTTACCCAGAAGAGTAAATAGTTTACTTTGATTCTACTTAAATTTTCTCCTATGACCAATAAAAATATTTAAGATATTACAACTGTATAGTATTTACGTCGAAATATTACTTAAATTTGTGGCGCGTCCCCGATATTTCTAAATGTACCTATTTGCTAGTGAATCTAAGTATTTTTTTAGTTTGAATATTGTTGCCCCATACATCGACCTTTAAGCTATTAAGCTAATACAAACTGCTACAACTCAAAGCGAGATTTACCTGATAATAACAATAATAGATGGGAATTCTAAAAGGCAATCAAACATACAATAGATGTGAAAGTGGATGAAGAAATACGTAAGAATATATACATATGTATGTACGTATGAATGAAGATTAATTCAATAAAGCGAAACCATACACATCTATACACATAGGTATTTTAAATTCAAATCCAAATTTCACACTGAAGCTTGCCTCAGCAGTAATCTACTCTAGCACTGGCAGTCTAATTTAGACAAACCAAGCGTTTAGACACAAGGCAGTCAATTGGAAATAGAACTTTCTTTAAACGAATTTATGTATAAATTGAAATGATTTCAAAATATCTTATTTTACTTGCACTACTCTACCGCTTATCCTGCGCCAATGCCTACGTTACAACGACTGAGTTACCCGAAAGTTTGGGTAATAAATTCATTTATTTCGGTTATGGCAGTAATATGCTTACGAAACGCATACATATACAAAATCCGACGGCGCAGAAAATCGGTATGGGCATTTTAAAGGATTATAGACTAGATTTTAATACATTTACCGAGCGTTGGGGTGGTGCACCGGCGACCATCGTACCCACAGATGGTGCCTACGTTTATGGCACACTCTGGGAGATCGATTTGAGCAATTTAGTAGATATTGATGAGTGAGTGGATTTGAAATAAATAAAAACTTATGACAGTTGATAAAAACAGTGACATTTTCATATAAATTTTCGATTCATAAAGCAGTTAGTCTTCTTTATTTTAGCTATTGTGAATTATTTATAAGTATATTTTCTTATTTGTAATCCCATTATTTGATTTTTTAATTTATTTTATTTTATTTGCAGTCAAGAAGGCGTCCACGAAGGCATTTACTATCCAGTAAGTTTACCAGTTATGTTGCCGAATAACACTTTGATTACTGCACGCGCCTATTTGCTGGCCGATCAACCGAAAAACCATTTAAATGACTTTTCCAGCGGTGACAAAGTCCCAATTACGCGTCAACCTTCGATAACTTACTTGCAGTGTTTGGTAAAGGGTGCTGAAGAAACCGGTATTGTGCCGTGGTATGTGGATTGGCTGAAGGCTGTGAAGCATAATGGGCATGTTGCACCGGATTTGGAGCGCATACTAGAATTAACGGATGTGAAGTTGAATTCTTAAAATACATCTTAAATTGGCAAGATGGATGTCTGTGATATACTAATATGTACATATTTACTTAGTTGTATTAGCTTTATGTGTAAGTTTTTTTAAAGGATATTTTAATTTCTATCGAAATTAAAAAAATCGTTTAAGATTTATAGATATGTATACTAAAAAATAAACCAAAAATATTGTTTTTTAGATAAAAAGACTTTTACTTTATATGGCAAAGGAATACATAGTTCCTGTTTCGTAATTCCATAATAAACAAAAAAAAAATGCATTTTAAAATTGGCGAAGTACATATGGCATATTTTTTGCATTGAAAAAATCGAAAACTAGAGAAAAACAGCTTTCAAATTTTGAATTTAGATACCGACAGCTGATCGACCTATGTACATATCTCGGCAGCCGATTCAAAAACGTCCTATATAGTAACAACTGATTCTCTGTAAATTGTGCTATAATTTAAAGTTTTGTAATATTTATTTTATTCCAAATAATATAATCATAACTAGCTTACCCGGCGAACTTCGTCCCGGCCATAATTAGATTTGTAATTTAATCGTTTTGGTCCAACATTTTCTCCAACAGTCCACGATTTCCATTGGCAAATTCATCGGCTAAGATGCCGCCTTAAATAAACTAACGAAAGTTTATATCCATGAAGAAGTGAATTTGCTCTAGAAACTTTATCTTATAGTTGGTGGCAATTCCAAAATGGATGCGTATCCTTGTTCAACAGAAGTACAATACACATACATAGACTGAGATGAAATATCTTAAAAGCCAGTTTCACGAAAGCAATTTAAGTGAAAAAATTATTTTTTTCTGTCAGGTTCTATATTAAATTCTATTAAAAAAATAAATCTTCATTAAATTGCTTTTATTAAACTGGCTTTTAAGGTATTTCGACAGGTAGTGTTTTGAGATTTACCACTGCACAAATCAACCCTGGTATGTCCGAATGAAGCTTTAACGCATAATAATATTGGCAAATCACGTCCATTAGGCCAATCGTAATACACGTGAGTTCGATATACTCAATGGTGCAACAGGTCGATTTAGTCTGACATTCACGGCATCTTTTCTCACTTGTCAATTTTTAGTAATAACTCGACCTCAGCATCACCTCACATCTCTTTTTTGCAATTGGACTCGGACCATACAAAAAGATATTTAGTAATAACTAAACTCCACCGCCAACTGGCGGGTTAGATTGTGAAACTAAACTATCCAGGGACTCACTCAAACCACCACCCAGAACTTTTTGAAATCCCTCCAGCCATTTAGGATTTCACTCACAAACATACCTAAAGAAGAATTATATACACATTCAAAGATAAGGAAGTCAGTATGTTTGTACTTTGCCATGCCCTCTTTTCAAAGAGCCTACTTTTCTCCATGAGTATGGGATTGATTTCATATGTATATCTCCATACGAAGTTCCAGTACTGTACCATGAACACTTCCAGAGATATGCAGTATGAAATCCGGCTTGTATGGTAGGTGCCACGCCCCCTTTTCCAATAGCTCCATATTTTCTCCATGACTATGCGATTAATTTCATATATCTCCACACCAAGTTCCAGTACTCTACCAAGAACAATTCTAGAGATATGCAATAAGAAAAATTCGACTTGTATGGGAGGTGCCACGCTGGTATAAAGTTCAAGTACTCTACCATAAACACTTCCAGAGATACTTATTACGAAAGATTCGGTTTATATGGGAGGTGCCACGCTCCATTTTCAAATAGTCCGAAATTTTATTCATGAGTATGCGATTGATTTCTACTCTACCATGAACATTTCCAGACATATACAGTATGAAAAATTCAGTTTGTATATGAGATGCCACGCCCCTTTTTCAATAATTCCAATTTTTCTCCATGAGTATGTGATTGATTTCATATACATAGTATCCCAATACCAAAATCCAGTACCCTAGCATGAACACTTCCAGAGGTACTTATTATGAAAAATTCGGTTTATAGTCCGAAGTTTTTCTTCATGAGTAAGCGATTGATTTCATATACATAGTATCCCAATACCAAAATCCAGTACCCTAGCATGAACACTTCCAGAGGTACTTATTATGAAAAATTCGGTTTATAGTCCGAAGTTTTTCTTCATGAGTAAGCGATTGATTTCATATACATAGTATCCCAATACCAAAATCCAGTACCCTAGCATGAACACTTCCAGAGGTACTTATTATGAAAAATTCGGTTTATAGTCCGAAGTTTTTCTTCATGAGTAAGCGATTGATTTCATATATCTCCGCACCCAGTTCCGGTGCTGTGCCATGAACACTTCCAAAGATATACAGTGTGAAAAATTCGGTTGTATATGAGGTGCCACGCCCCTTTTCCATTATCTCCAATTTTTCTCCATGAATATGTGATTGATTTCATATATTTTCGTACCAAGTTCAAAAATTTTACCATGAACGCTTTCATTACTTACTTTATTTAGGATTAGACATGGGTTAGCCAAGGATTAGAGACATGAGCCTCTTAACAGTAATAAGGGATTTGATTTTTTTTAATTTTGAGTTGCGTCATTATTGCAGAGGACCATCGGTATCTGAATTCATATATTTCGATAATGATATAAATTCGAGCATAAATACATATACATATTCTTTTTCCTGTTATCAATAAATATTTTGAATCTGAGGATAATCGGACCATAAACACGATTCTTTTTTTGCAGTGGTATTGTTTTTCCTATTGTCAATACACATCTCAACTATAAGGCGAATCGGACCATAAATAGGAGTTTTACTAATAGCTCGACTCCAGCGCCACCTAGCGGTTGCTTTAATAGTTATTCTGCTATTCGGAAGGTAGACAAATTCCGTTCTTGAGTTATAAATGGTGTAACTAACACGACTTTGTTTTATATATATAGATAAATAACAATATTTCGTGTCGAAATTAGTGATCACATTGTACGATGTACCTCAAAAGTGTATTTTTCCTAAAAAAAATTATATTTCCGAAAACAAAAAATTTAGCTACTAGGCACCCAGCTCGATTGTAGTTCAAAGTGCCTATTTTCTTGAGAAAAAGTATGCAAGAAAAAAACATAGTTGTTGCTAAATTTAGCTTCGAAAATTTTTTTATAGAAAATAATTCAAAAATTTATAAAAATTAAAATCGATAATCTCACCATTTTATCTTAAAGTAGCAACTAACAAACACCTTAGTTCATAGATTGTTGCAATCTATTAGTTTTTAGCAAAGTTATTGGCGTTTGGCAAAAATTCTCCATATATTTACCACCTACATATCGAGTTTCATATATAGATATATGTATATAAAAAATAAAACAAAATTGCTTAAGGCTGCGTTTCTTTATACATTCCGGATAATCCCATTTCACAGCCGGAATAAACAGAATTCTTTTGAAATATACGTTAACATATCATCAGGAACGTTCTAAAGAATAAGTAAACAAAAAAGTTTATTCCAAACGTTCAGAATGAATAAAGAAATTCAGCCTATAGGTTTTTTGGTAAAAAAGTTTTTGAACCGACAAACAACATATTTCCGTTTCATTGAAATTAAAAATCAGGCCGGTTCCTGACCGGTTGTCTTGGAATAGAAAGCATCTATTGTATTTGACAAATTTCCAATGGGATGCTCTCGTTCTCTTGCAAATTTGGAATAGTATTTTTGCATTTCGTGCAATCCGTGCANACTACTGATTTAAGCAATATATCTAGTAGAAAATTTCTTTTACATTTCTTGTGCGTAATTTTATATAAAATTTTAATTTTTCTTAAGAGCCGTAGACAGCCCTTAGAACCTAAATTTCTTATCTTTAATTCTAAAATTGCCACGCCCTAAAATAAAATCTTTATATTATTAACTTAAGTGCTAAAACTGCCACGCCCATTTCTAGGGATTTGTTGCCTTAAGCAAAAATGCCTCCGAAAAAACATATTTACTGGATGGGTGTTCTGCCGGAACCAGCAATAAATTCACACTTTTGCTAAAATACGGTTTTTTACACCTTGCTAGTTATGGGGTTCAGAGATTCTGTTTTTTTTTGCCATTCTACAAAATTTTGTATTACTTACAACTCATATTTCCTATTAACTTGTTTTTATTTCTTGCTGCTAAATTATATTTTTGTATATTACTGACTACGTATACATAGGGTTTACATAGCCGAAAATAAAGCTCAACCAAGCTTATAAAAAAGCTTTATCCATGGTATGAACTGTAAATTTTTCGTTTTACCGAATTTAAGCAAACA